AATCAAAGTATAATTATTATTTATAATTTTTTCCAACAAGGAAATCGTTTTAGAAATTATTTCAAAGTGTAAAATACTTTTATATGTGGCTCCAAGGAAATGTCATGAAAAATCTTAACTAATTACAAACCAAGTTTCTGTTTATGAATTTGCTGGGAACAGTGACATTGTATTTGGAGGTATTAATTAGACCTAAATTACCATTTTAAATGTTTTGCATGTTTTGGAATAGTGAAAAGTGATTTTAATGCTAAAGACACTACCTAAGTATTTACTAAATATTTACTAAAAATGTTTTATTTGAAAATAATTTTTATTTTGAAATGAAAAGCATTATCTAAAAACAGAAATTTTGGAAGAGCACATTTTTCTATCCATTAAGGCTCCCTCATGTGTCACTGCTCTAAATGATATGTTATAGAAGCACTTTAATATTCTTGGTGGTCACGGTTTTTAATTGTGGGTTGTGATAAAGACATTACTCTAATGCCAACCAAAGGGATGAAGTTATTTTCTCAGTAATTAGTCTTTAATCTTATCTCTGTGTAATTGAGAGACTTTATAAGTTGGAGTTTCTAGTCTGGAAACAATTATTCACTTCAGCTTTGAGTTTCATGACTCATATTGCCCATGACCATGAAGGCATTAGTAATACAGCTTAAATACTAGATGCGCATAGAGACTCTGGAAGATCACACTGCTCCTTGACTTCTTGCTCCGAGGGCCATCTGAAGCGAAGGTAATTTAAAAAGACATACAGTGTCATTTGGAATGATTCTATTGCACTAGGTACAGGATGTAAGATATTCTCGTGTTGGACAATTTAATAATTTCTAATAGTTCTAGTAACAAAGGAAAAAAGAAATTCAAGGGTTTGAATCTAAGGAAGAAAAATACAAAGGAGAGATGTGAAAAAGGAGGAAAAGGGGGATGAGTTGCCTAAATTCGGGCAAAATCAAATAGCACAAAGGTAAATCTGATTTCAGTTTCAAATACACATGAAATAGTTGAAGAGTGATTTATCTATAAAGACAGCTTCAGATGGTAGGGACAAGTCTTAATAAAAGCATGATGAGGTTGATTTTTCTGTCAAAAAATCAATTCTAGAGTTCACTGATCTGGTTGGAAACTCACAAGGTAAGTTAATTTGACTTAAATATGATTGAAGACCATAAGAAGGTTTGCTTCCAGTATCAGCTGGCCAGTAAAGACGACATCGATTTGCTTTATGGAATCTATTCAGATTGTCTACCAATCCATTACACCTTACAAGATTTTTCCCATATCATTTTGTACTTGAGGAATTATGATTGTCAGTGACAGCATCCAGACCATGCGAAGCCCTGGTGAGTCTCACCGGCTTCATAGAAGCTCAAGGTGGATATATTTGTATATTACATAAGAAATCTCGTTAGAGCCTGCAGACACCTCCCCAGTACTGAGCATGATATGACACTGGTGTATGAAGATTTGTGGGTAGAGATAACAAATCCAAGTAACTTCAGGGACCAAACGGGTATAGCTGGAGCTGTGACATGATGAGGACAAGTAGGAAGTGTGTGCACTGTGATGAGCCAGAGGACGCGTGTCTGGCCTAAGGCGTTCAACGTGTGTAGGTTTACAAAACCCGAATCTAGAGGCGGAATTTAGCCTGCCCGCGATTTCAACACCGCTAACGAAACCTTCTGTTTACAATGGGAATAGAATTTAGGTAGGAAAACTGAAATGACCTCCTAACCCTTCCATTCCAGACTCCTCCCCAGCATGAAGTTCCTCACCCTGGCCGGCCTCTTGAGCACGGCCGCCGCCCTGCCCATCGTGAGTACTGCCCGGCTGCTGTCCACCCCGTTTCTCTCCGAGAGACAGTATTTCTGGGCTACAATGCATTTCCTATATGTTTCATTTCACAAAAGAGGCAAGTGGAGTCCGGGAAGGTTGTAGATGCAGAAATGTCCCGTTTTTCCCAGCCCATGGGTCTTTCCAGTACAAACCCCAGCAGCACGTGCCTTCTGCTAAGTGTGTGACCTTGAGCAAGGGGCTAACCCGTGGCTTCCCTGCCGGTAAAGTGAGTTATAGAACCTTGTGCGGATGATAAAAATGCATCTAAAACACTGAAGAGTCCTAACTGGAGCATAGGAAACTCTCAAATAAACTTAACAATATAGAGCAAACATTCTGCAATGACCTAGGTCTCAAATACACAGTTTGAATTGAGCTTCATTTACAATACCCTTACCCGGGACCGTCTCATGTTGACTACAGCCAAGCTTTCCACATCTATGCAAATGAGATTTCCGAGTCTAATCTGTGTTTATTACAGTCGGAATATGTAGGACACCAAGTAGGCAAGAAGCCCTGCTCCCTGCACTTTTTTTTTCTTTTTTCTTTTTTGGTAACAAAGGAGTTTTTAAAGAAGTGAGAGAGCTTTCAAAATTTGTGTTTGGGGATAACAAAATTTAAATTTGCACTTCCACACGCCCTTCACTTTGAATTTTTAAATGCTGAGAACTATACTGAGAACACTGTTGATTCAAAGATAAAGAGGCTTACAGTATGTAATTAATCTGAAAAAATGTGAATAAAAAAATGTGAATAAAAACTTTTTTTGGAAATAAGTTTAAAGGCAAAAAGTGCACGTTCTGATCCCTGGGTAGGATTAACTCAACTTTTCCTTATTAGATACTCAACCTCGTTTTATTTCAGAGGTGAACTTACTTCACTGATGGGTATGATGCTCAGGAGGGGCTTGTTACCGGTTCTCGGGTAGAATTAAGTCTCTTTGTAATGAGTTGCTTCACCTTATTGCTTTTATTGTTTTACAAGCTTGAACAATCTGGAGGCAGTTCCAGTGGTCAGGTAAACTTCTAGTTGTATTTACAAATGATATGTTCTTCATTTTTAAAGTTTGCAATTGTCTGCAATCATTGGCATTATGTTTCTTTTTAGAGATTTAACTTTTACCCACCACAAGGACTACCATTTTTTCCTCAGTTCCCATTTCTCCCACCTCCACAACTGCCCCCGGTAAGTGTGGGTTTGGGAAATCGCAAATTGTGAGATGTATTTATTATTTGGATAATGACTGTGAAAATTTCCAAATCTTCATGCAGAAATATGAAGCTTTCTGAGGTCACCAGGCATCAGCCGCTCACAGTGCCCTCCCCACTTAGCTTGTGGTGGCGTGTGGCAAGGGGTTAGCAAACTTCCCCCAAAGCTTCAGTGGCTTCTTCCAATGTCTCCTCCACTTGTCATCAAAAAGGTGTTTATACTGAATTACTTTAACTATGATGGGGCCGATTACTCTCACAAAGGGAATACTTACCTCTTTCTATAATACCCAGTCTTTTTCTTTCTTTCTTTCTTTTTTTTATTAATTAATTTTTGTTACAGATGTTTCTCCTTTTTCCCCCACTGATTCCCCCCTTCCCCTCCCTCCCTGCCCTTTCCTCAGTTTGTTGTCCATGTCCACTGTCCATGCATACATGCATATAAGTTCTGTGGTTTATCTCCCCACCACCCCCTCTTCTGGGGATTGTCAGTCTGTACCCCACTTCCACGTCTCTGGGACTACCCCCTTCCTCAGCCCAGTCTCTTTCTTTTTCTAAATCACACTGTTGCTTTCTTTTCTCTACAAGGCTTTTTCCAGCTAAGTTTTTCTCACAGGTCAAACAATATAATTAGTTCGCTCTTCTTACTGGACCTTCTCCCATCTTCCTAATATCTGGATTCTTATAACACTTTTTAATTAAGACTAAAACAGTACTAAATACCTAATAGGATTGCCTTTATTCTATATGTAATACTGTTGTTGGTACAGAAAGCATTCATTCGGTTGATATTTACTGAGTGTCTACTGTGTAATAGGGTCTATAGAAAGGGCTGGAAATGCAAGAAGTGTAAGTTCACAGTCTGCTGAAGAAGAGAGATTCATAAATGAAATAAGAACTGTGATTTGGTAAGTGCTTCTAGATGCCAGTACAAAGCTGACTTAGGTGGCGGCTCAAAGACTTCGTTCCCAGAGGAGATGGCATCTGAGCCAGGTCATGAAGGAGAAGTAGGTGGGGCAGAGGGAACTGCAGATGTGTGGGACAAACCCAAGAAGGACATGCAATTTGGGGGACGTATGACTAGTACAGTGAGCCTGCAACACAGGTTGACAATGTTAAATTTGGACAGTATTTAAGCAATGATTTTTTTGTGTTGTTTTTTTTTTTTATCCTCACCCGAGGACATTTTTGCATTTCAGATAGAGCAGGAGGGAGAGAGGGAGGAAGAGAGAGAGAGAGAAACATCGATGTGAGAGAGACACATCGAGTGGTTGCCCCACACACGATCCCAACCCAGAGCCAGGGACAAACTGCAACTGAGGTACATGCCCTTAGCGGGAACCGAACCCGGGACTCTCTGGTCCATGAGCCGAAGCTCTACCCGCTGAGCCAAACCGGCTAGGGCAAAGCAATGATGTTTTGAAAAGTTCACACACATTTTAAAATAACATCTTCCTCAACTCCTTATCACTTAAAATATTTTTAAAATATAAATACGATTTTGCATAATTTTGTTTTTATATCTAAATGTAACCAACACCTTTCCTTTGCTTATATTTAATTTCAGAGTGTTTATTTCTCAACTTTAAGTAGGCTTTTGGAAATCTGTCACTCAAGTTACAGTCCTCAATGGAACATTCTCTCTTCTTCACATTTTCACAAGTCCTGAGTCTTAGCCACTAAATTTCTAAGTTCTTGCATTTTAATTAATTGCTCATTATTTTGGTTCTCGTCAAATCTAGGTGCATTGTGACATTCAGTAAGGTTTGTTTTAAATTAATGCAAAATCATAAAGTCTTGGTTTATAATTAGAATATAAGAATGTCTGTTAACATCTTATTTATAAAATTATGTAAACCCATGTGGCAAAAAAAAAAAAAAAAGTCACAAGTATTTTAAATGAGGACCCTTCCTTCCACCAGGGGGCAGAATATTACTAAATATCAGGCAGAATTTCCCATTTGACTCACATTTTCTCCTAATAATAGATTATAGGGGCTATGCTATGGGGTAGATTAAAATTGCCCTGATTTGAAGAGGGGAGATGTTTTTGTGTCCTCCTCCTATATGAAATGGCTGAACAGAAAAAAAAAGAAAAAAAAAAAATCAGGCAAAGAATAAACTGTAGGGAAACTGATTTGCAAGAATTATGAACATGTAGAACAGAGTACTCGGCTTTAGGTTTGACTAATTAAGCAAAATAAGCATATCTGTTGAAAGAAAAAAAATTATGAAGATTTAAATCTAACTAAGCTCCACCAATTAGAAGGTGGGCTCCCTGAGAGGACATAATTGCTCAATAAATTCTGGGTGGGAATGGATGGATGGATGGATAGATGCATAAATGAGAAGAAAGCCAAAATATGTCACATTTTATTTTATCCCCAATTCACTTTTTTCTTTCTTTTTTAGATTCCAATTCCTCTTCCTTTTCCTTTTCCATATAATCCAAACCAGGTAATTATACTTAAGTTCCCTTTTCTTAAGTATTTAAATTAATACAAAACAAAACCTGAAAAGTCTTTAGATTTAATCAGAGGGGAATTTGATACCAAGAATTAATGGTTATCATCCTCTCTGGGGGATTATTAATTACTGGTATTTTGTCTGACTCAAGTCCTTTAATGTACAAATCTCACATATCCTTGAAAGCTGAACTACCAAAGACCTGAACTTTTCTTGATTAGAGGGAACCTAAGAGACCAGTAGAAAAGGCACTGGAAGTCGAATAACCTGGGGGTGCAAGCTCTGCCATTTAGTACTTTGGAGTAAACTCAGATTCCTTTCGTTGTCTGTGGGAGAGGTCTTCATCTCCACCATTGCCAGTGGGTGTGGGCTTCTTGCAATATCGCAAGAAAAGGAATTTTCTGAGACTCCTACAAGAGCATGAGGTACTGTAGAAAGCTTTGTTTCTGTGGAATCAAACCCCTGAGCCTCCAAGGTCCCATTTCCCTTCATCCCTCCAAGGAAGAAGTGTAGCCGTGGCTTCCGCAGAGCTAGAATCAAAGCCAGTGTCCAGAATTTTCATTCCTTATTGGAGCAGTGTCCAGCCCAGCCTCGGGCTAGCTTAGTTTGTGTTCCCTGCTGCAGTCCATCTGTACATTACATGTGGGGTCTGCAGGGCCAAATGGCTATGAAGGAAACACAGACAGGAGCAAAGCCAAAGGAACCATAGAGCCAAGAGAAAGCTAAGCACCAAGAGCCAAGGGCACCAGCTCCTTTGTCTAGAGATTATATATCGCCAAATTTTGGTGGGCTTACAGTGGCCCTGCCCACTCTGGCATTCCATGGTTCCCCAGGCTAGATTGATAGGCAAGTGCCTTCCGTACGTTACCCCAACTCACTGTGCATGTGCCCATCTTCCCCTTTGTCCAGTGCCTTCCCCAGTGATTTTCAGGGAACAGGCCAGTGGTTCCCTGGGGAATGTGAAGTTGCCACTTCCAGGTGAAGCTGCCGGAATGATGGTGCCTATAATTTCTGGCCTCCCTTTTGCTCCTTCCTATTATTAATACTAGCTAATTACAACAGTTCCACTTTGAGCTTTACTTTCTTCCAGAGTACGAAATAGTGAAAATTGTTTATTTATAAAGTCCATTTTACCTCATAAATTGTATGCTTACATTTGCCATTAACAGAAGAAAAATGCATTCTTTTTTTTTTTTTTTTATATATTTTTACTGATTTCAGAGAGAGGAAGGGAGAGGGAGATAGAAGCATTGATGAGAGAGAAAAGGCTGCCTCCTGCACACCCCTTACTGGGGATCAAGCCTGCAACCCAGGCATGTGCCCTGGCCAGGAATTGAAATGGTGACCTCCTGGTGCATGAGACAGCGCTCAACCAACTGAGCCACACTGACCGGGCAGAAAATGCATTCTTATTAAAATATAATCTTTTATAGCCTTTGAACTAGATTTAAGGTTATGGTCATGGTATAAAAGGATTACCTAAATTTTACTTTTGCCCGGCTAGTGTGGCTCAGTGGTTGAGCAATGACCCAGGCACCAAGAGGTCGCCAGTTCGGTTCCCAGTCAGGGCACATGCCCAGGTCGTGGGGCAAATCCCCAGTGGGGGGCATGCAGGAGGCAGCCAATCAATGTTCTCTCTCATCGATGTTTCTATCTCTCTCCCCCTCTCTTTCTCTCTCTCTAAAATCAATAAAAGAAAAAATTTTAATAAAATAAATGTTACTTTTGACAGAATTTTATTGAATGAGGAATAATCACATATGACAAGATTGACTCAGTCACAAACCAAGAAATAAGTTGTGTACATGATAGCAATTTTTCCTAAAATGAGAGGAAATGACATTCAAGTTCACTTTCATAAAGATGTGCTCCAAAATACAGCCTTTTTCCAACCCAGTAAATAGAAGTTTAATGATCTTTCCCCAAAATCCCTGCTACGTCTGCAGCCCACAAAGAAAATGGGGGAGTTGGCTATGGAGATTTATTTAAAATATGAGTGAATATGAATTTCAATGACATAATTTTAGAAATGCTAAGAATTCTAAAAAGCATGTTTTCATTAACCAAGCTAATATAAAATGTGTAACACAGAAAAGATAGATAAAATGCTGAATTACACTTCCTTGACTATTTTATTGTTTACTTTATTTTAGGTCCTGACACCTAATGATCTTATAACGGTAAATATATTCTAGCCTGTTAATCTATAAGGTTTATAAAAATATTACGTTCAACACTCTACATAATATGAGCCAGTTCATCATGAAAATTACTGTCTTTATTATTCCATTCATTTGGAAACAAAATAAAGCACAGCTGTTAAGTTCAAAGACAAAAAACAATCTCGATGCCCGCCAACATTTCTACATTCATTTATTCAATTCACCCAAACTATAAATCAACAAAACAACCTCTTCTATCATTGATGAGGATGAAAGTGAAGAGTCAAAAGACTTAGTAGTTACAAAATAAATTGCTTTAGGAGAGATGAAGTAGACTTGATTATTTCTTCACCAACAAAGCATTAGCATAAACATATAATACAGTAAAGATCATCAAATCTAAGTCTCAGCAGACAATTTTTTTACTGACTTGCACATCATTCAACTTTTTAAGGAGGCCTTTTATTGATATAGTAAGTTACTCAGAATCTCAGTTCACAAAAACAGAGGAGAAACACGTGGAGTTATAAAAGATACTTAAATTCTATTTTGTACTCTAAAAAATACTTTTCACATGCAAACATTTTCTGAAACCAAGACACATCTCACAGCAGATACACACATCACCTAGGATCTCCTTTCTCTTTAAATTGCTCTCATTAAGTGGTACATTGTGCAGTTACGGTATCTTAGAATCAGGGACATGCCATATTTTATAAAAATGTCAGAAAGTTAGACCCAAATCATGTGTGTGCCTGAGATAAAATTTTCAAGATTCTTCAATACAATTTAAATTTAAAGTCTACCACCTTGAAGGTCAAACAGGTAGCTTCTGAACCTAACTAAATAAGAACCTGAGTCTTTTGAGTTAAAATAGCTAAATGCTCTTCCCACAACCCATTGTTTAAGCAGCATTCTAGTCCAAGTCCAAAAGGAAAGTAAAAAATTCTAGCATATTTCTAACTAAAAAGGTTATAGAAAACTACCTTCAATGATTAATGATTAAAGATGGACTTATTAATTACATCAAAACATGGCTAAAAGAGCACTGGCCTATGGTTAAAAAGCCAGATTCTAATCTCATCATTACAATTACATTATCTATGTGACCTTGGGTAAATATGTATTTGCTCCAAGGCCCCTTCCAGTGAAAATACTGACTCCTCAGACACATGACGCATTCGAATTACCTAGATCTGAACACAATCCCTATTTATATTTTATTTTTCTGAACTTTTTGAAAGCACTGTTTGTTGGTCACAACCCATCTTGGAAAGAATCCTGACAGAATAATTTCTAGAAATGCCATATCTTCATGGTCATAAGATTTTTGTTTTCTCCCAGTGATCAGTCAGGGAGCAGGAAAGAGTCCTGAGAACAAATGTGACCTCAGGGCAAGGACAAGCAGGGGCAGTGTTTAATCTCACAACTCTACAAAAGGTCTGTCTCTTGGGCAGAGAGGTCCACCCTTGGAGCAAGCTGCCAGTCCCCTACCACGGAAGGGCTGTGTGGAAGCTCAAAGCAATGCTTTTCCAGTGAAACTGGTTGTGTAAGCAAACTCTCGGAGCAAAGGACTCATAGTTGTCCTAAAATGTCTGTTCAAGTTTCATTCGCAGGGTGAATTTGCGTAATTTAAGCAAGCACTTGGATGGAAGTGTACACAGGGAGTTTCTTAACCACGCTCATCAGTTTTCTAGCTTTTAGATATAGTGAATACAGTTCCAGAAAAGTGACAGGGAAATATTTCTGTGAATTAAGGGGTTTTATTTTTGTGGTTTATTAGCATTTATTAATACCAACAGCATTAAGTGAAACAAGCAAGTCACTAAATAGGCAAGATGTTAAACTGTCTCTGGTATTACAGGTGGCTTTTTTTTTTTTATTTTAATTTTACCACTTTCTTCATTTTTTAAATTATAGTTGAAAGATTAAGAGAATTTAAATCTAGATATTGCTTATTCATTTTAAAATCATACAAAGAAAAAGACTAAGCAGTAAAATGGAATTAATTTTTCATTAAAAACAAAGCTTTCACATAGAAAATGTTTTAACTTATCTATATACTAAGTTGAAAATAAGTTTAAAAGTAAATCCTGGGGGGTGGGGGGAGGAACATCTGTAACAAAAATAAATAAATTTTTTAAAAAAGTAAATCCACTGACAGCACTGATCATTGATTTTACTTCTTTCACAGTTAATCATTTCTATTTTGAACCAACTCTTGGTAAGTGTATATTAACTTTTAAGCTATTATAAACTACAAATCTACTTAATGAACTTATATCTTTTTATTTTTTTATTTTTAGGGCTTCCTTGGGGTAAGACTTCATTTCTATGATTATATTGATAAAAGTAAGTGACATTTAATCTCAGAAAAGGTAAGAATGATTCTTGAGAACCATAAAATCCTATGGCCAAATTGAACCCAACTAATCTACCCAAATTAGAGCTCATGAATTATAAACTCAATTTCCTCCCAGATCTTTAGATCAGAATTTCTGCAGGTCTAAAAAAGTATTTTCATAATACCCATGGTATTTGACAAAAATTCAGTTTACAAAAATATATGCAACAATAGGTTAAGAAATTTCAAACAGTAAATTTTATCTCAAGCTTATTGTCATTTTATGGACAATTCAGTCAGTAGTGAGCAAAGCCTGCAGTGAAACTACCAAATCTAGAAACGCTGACCTCAAGGCAACTTACCTCCTAACACAAAAGCATCAGTTCGCTTGGTGGAAAGACTGCAGACCTTGAGACTTCCCCTTTGAGTCTCATGCAAGTTTGTTTTCACTTAGAATATATACAGCCCTGGTTGGCGTGGCTCAGTTGATTGGAGCGCCATTCTAGGTACTATAGGGTGGCCAGTTCAATTTCTGGTCAGGGCACATACCTGGGTTGTGGGTTCAATCCCCGTGGGCAACCGATCAGTTTCTCTCTCTCTCTCTACCATTTCCCTCCTCTCTCTGAAATCAATTAAAAGACTAAAAAAAAAAAAACCTCGAACACAAAGAAAATACACACATACACACACATGCATGCACACAAAATACACCAAATTACCTTTTTTAAATATCTAAATTAATGTCCATTAAAATTGTATGCAGTATGCATTTATTTTAGTCTACCTAGAGAAAAGCCAATAAATCAAAACACTCTCAATTCCAATTTTGATAAAGGAATTGGATTTTACCCAAGTTTTCCTTCTGACAAGTTTCATTGCCCTCCAGTGCTTATTTAGTGTTTCCTACCACTTTAAATGTTCTCATCAGGCCATCAGGAGCCAAGTAGGAGGAATTAAGTCTATGTTGTAGAAAAGGCAGTTGAGGATTCAATTTATCAGCATTTAGGTATAATAGAACCACGTTATTTTCTACCTCCTAAAATACATGATTATACTAATCCTAATCCATCAGCAATAAAATAACCCTACTATGGGAGATATGGGTGGAGGTGAAGAAGAAATTATAGCAAAAATACCTTCATATAATAACTATAATCTGTATTATTTGACAGAAATAATTCTCTCACTACTATGTCAGAAGTCATATAAGGTTAGTGAAATCTCCTTTCAAACACAAGTATACATTTTAAATATTTTTATCTTAAGAGTTTAATAGCTTCAGATTGTGTACATATTGGTAAATTAATAATATGATGGAAGTAGGTGTAAATAAGACCAAATTAATACAAATGCTTTCTTCAAAGGATGTTATTTTAAAACCAGTTTATTTATTAAAACTTTGCAAATATTCTACAATATACCAACCACTTAAGTCTTTATATTGTAAAACAGAGGAGCATTTAGCCTCTAAAAGTGGTTAGAATTTTCAAGTGCTCTCTCTAGCTACCAAATATTTAGATTTTTAGTTATACTCTATGTAAGTTTAGCATATGCTTCTATTTGAGTTTGAAATGTTTTCAAATCTCAAGAACACCTACCGGTAAGACAAACACGATTATTTATCCTTAGGTTAAGATATTATCAAATAAACTGTCTTTGGGCCAAATTACGCAAACCATTTACAATGCTAACCAAGTCAGATATGGCTTGTAATGTCAAGTCACAAACCATAACTGTATTACATATGGATAACATTACTATTAAGTAATAGATAATCTTCTAAACTGCATACTTAAAGTAACAAATCATACAAGCTTGACAAACTTAGTAGGGAATAGTCGACAGTGTTTTGGAACCAGGCAGACCAGGATTCAAATCCTAGTTCTGTTCCTTATGGAACAAACCTTGAGGCACCCTTTCTAAATACCATTTCATCTGTGCAGCGGGAATACTACTAATGTCACAGGACTGTTGTGAAGATTAAGTGATATAATGTAGATTCAACAAATGGTAATCTATTATGACTATTTTACTAAATGCCTTTTAAAAGCAAAAATATTCCTTATATCTAAAATATATGAAAAGCAAATATGTAAACAATATTGCCTTGTGATACAGGAGAAGATATTCCTCCAGAAATGTCTTAAACTAAAATTTTACAGATGGTAAAATTTTCTATTACAGATGGTGCTGGATACTTAGTTATCAGAAGATTATCTACTTCTATCCTATCTATAATTTATAGTTGCACTTTGCATACTTTGTAAATGTTCCAGTGAAAACTCCAAAATGCTACAAAGAATGTATTCTCTATGGAAACCATGGGCTTTGGTCATTCTTTAAATAAAGTTTTAATGTAACCTAGTCTCTTTACTAACATCAGTTTAAATGTCTGAAAACTACTAAACATAAGTAAATGTCATTCTTGAGGACATTGCTCAAACTTCCTCAAGAGCTTTGTGCGCCACATCAATTTTAGAGAACTCTATCCAGTGCCAGAAAGAAGCAATTCCTCTCTGCCGACCAGTAAAAGTAGAATCACTCTTTCATTCTACCCCTCATCTGATGAACATGTCACCCTTTTCAAGCACAAGTCCCTTTTTACATGCCCAAGAACCAGGATTTTATAAAAGTAATACTGTACATAAACCTTCTAACTCTTCCAGAGGATTTGAGGCAAATATCCTGAAGCCAAACATTCTAATGTTCCACAGCAAAATTGACAGTCACACTGGGGGGTGGGGGAGTTTGCTTCCTGTCAATTCAGTTCAGTTTTAACACCAAAGGAGTTCTGGCATTAAATAAATAAATAAACAAACAAGTAAAAATCCAAAACCTTTCATTTACCTTAGCCCTAGATCTGTCCTCCAGCTAGAGTAAGCCTAATACTGTGTTCAAATGTCTGGAAAAAAGACAACCATATCTCTATCCTCTAAACCTTTTTTTCCAAATGCCCATCTAGTGCAGCTGGAATGACGGTGGAATTAGGACAGACCCCACCTCAGGCGGGCAGAGGCTGACATCATGGGACTCTCCCAAAGGGCGTCTTGGCCAGCACGTGCTACACGTCCACTGAGCAAGGCAGTGCTATTTTCCCTCCTCCTCCCTGCTCCCAAGGGCACCCAGAACACCAACTCTTGTCCTGTTCTCTGGGATTATAATGGTCAGAGTGAGTCCCTCAAAAGCCTATTTCAACCCTTCATAAGTGTTGACAAAAGTACTAACCCCTAAAGACCTCCCTCTGTCAGTCTCATTTCAATTCCTTTTTGAACACCTATTTTAATTAATGTTTAACATACACCGTTACAGTAGAGCAAAATAAATATATAATTTAAATTACTAATTTCCTGGACATATTTTTACTTTAGAATTTTTAAAAATGAGAACATAAGATTCATTGATCTTTACTGACTAAAAGGGCTGAAATTTTCTCTTAAAACTGAAGATTCTAAAGACAAGAATACATCAAGTTTCCATTTTTGGAATCAGTTTCAACGAGATCACACAAAGCAAAACGTGAAGCAAATAATCAGCGATAACTGATTACACGCGGCGGTGCTGCTCCGGGAGGAACCTGCTGGGGCCGGAGCGTCCTTCAGACCACGAGCAGCCAGGGAACGGAAGAACGGCTGACAAACAGGAACAGACAGACAGCAGAAGTTACGGCTTGTCAGAAATTTATCTTTATTCAGATCACAGTTCTTCGGGGCATCAAAGTTGTTTAAATTTGGTTAAAGGCATGCTTAAATAGAATATATATAAAATATGATTGTTTATATTTCTTTTGACTGGAAAGCAGAAAATACCATATTACATTTCACCATATTTACTAATTTTATTCTGATGTAAAACCTTTTAAATGAAAATCATTTTAAAAGTGGGTAAAATAATTTCCAAGTCGCCACCCTGCCCCCTTGCTCGTGGAGCAGTGACCTTGCCTTCTGTTCAGTACGTGCTCGTTGGCTGGCCTCTGGCTCACGGGGAGGTGCAAGCTATAACCCACGGCAGTCAGTGCCAGAGTCCTCACTCCAGTGTGCATCTCGTTTCTCTGCCACAAGTTTGATGAATTGAGAGTGACTAGCATAAAGCTTGAGTTTATCGTTGATGTCCACCCACTTTACTTTTCCAGCATCATCTCCAGCTTCAAGGGTGAGGTTATCCATTATCTCCCCTGGTTACCAAAGAAAAAAAAATCACCAAGAAAAAGTAATTTATTTATTCATTTCTTTTTCAGCATGATTCTATATCTTCAAATATTCTTATTAAAAATAAATAAAAATAATCACTGCCTTAGGTGGCCAAGTGAATTAAAAACTAGGATATTCCAAATTTTCCAAATGCTCAATTTTAACCAAGTTTATAAATTTTAAGTAGAGGGACCATTAAGAAAGCTTTTCTCTTTACAAAGTAAGATTATTATTCTAAAAGAAAATTCACATTAAATAAGCATGAAACCTTATATCAAAATTAATTCCAGAGGAATTAATAAATTTAAATGAAAAAAAAAAGTACTGGTGACCTGTTTTACAGTCTTCGGGTATGGGGACTTTTCTAAGTATGATACCAAATCAAAAACCATTACAGAAAATATTTATAATTACATTAATAAATACATGTGTTTATTAATTACACTAATAAATTTAAAATAAGGATCTATCCGACAGGAAGATATAACCTTGATAAACATATATGCACCCAATATAAGAGCACCCAAATATATGAAAAATCTTCTGGAAAACTTCAAAGGAGAAATTGATAGCAATACAATCATAGCAGGGGACTTCAACACCCCATTGACACCACTGGATAGATCCTCTAGACAAAAAATTAGCAAGGAAACAGAGACTCTAAATGAAGGACTAGACCACCAAATAGATTTAATAGATATCTACCGAGAATCACACCCCAAAACTACAGAATTCACATTCTTCTCAAATGCACATGGGACATTCTCAAAGACAGACCACATGATAGGACACAAACTAAATTCCTACAAGTTCAAGAAGACTAAAATCATATCAAGCATCTTCTTAGATCACAATGGCATGAAACTAGAAATCAATTGCAAAAAAACATGCAAAGACATTTGAACACATGGAGGCTAAATAGCACGTTATTAAACAATGAATGGGTTACCGAGGAGATCAAGGAAGAAATTAAAAACTTCCTGGAAACCAATGAAAATGAACACACAACTACTCAAATTCTATGGGAGGCAGCAAAAGCAGTTCTGAGACGGAAGTTCTTATCACTACAGGCCTACCTCAAGAAACAAGAAAAATTTCCACTGGACTGTCTAACCTCACACCTTAAAGAATTAGAAAGCAAACAAAAAGAAAACCCCAGAGCAAGCAGAAGGAAGGAAATACTAAAGATCAGAGCAGAAATAAATGACATAGAGACCAAAAAAACAATCCAAAGGATCAATGAAACAAAGAGCTGGTTTTTCGAAAAGATTAACAAGATTCATGGACCCTTAGCTAGACTCACCAAGAAACAAAGAGAGAGAACCCAAATGCACAAAATCAGAAATGAAAAAGGAGAAGTAACAACTGACACCACAGAAATACAAGAGATCGTTAACAGCTACTATGAACAACTATATGGCAAGAAATTCAACAATCTAAGTGAAATGGACAAATTTCTAGAATCACGCAGTCTCCCAAAATTGGAGAGAGATACAGATGGAAAATTGAACAGACCAATAACAACTAAGAAAATTGAAGAGGTAATCAACTCTCCCAGTAAACAAAAGCCCAGGCCCAGATGACTTCACGAGGGAGTTTTACCCAACATTCAAAAAAGAACTAACACCCATTCTCCTCAAACTATTTCAAAAAAATTCAAGAAGAAGAAAGACTTCCAAACTCGTTTTATGAGGCCAGCATAATTCTAATTCCAAAACCAGAAAAAGATACTACAAAGAAAGAAAACTACAGGCCAAAATCCCTGATGAACATAGATGCCAAAATCCTGAACACAATACTAGCAAATAGGATCCAGCAATACATCAAAAAAATTATTCACCGTGACCAAGTGGGATTCATCCCAGGGATGCAAGGCTGGTACAATATACACAAATCAATAAATGTGATACACCACATAAACAAAACGAAGAATAAACACCACATGATCATATCAATAGATGCTGAAAAAGCATTCGACAAAATCCAGCATCCATTTCTGATAAAAACGCTCGGCAATGTGGGAACAGAGGGATCATATCTCGACATAATATAGGCCATATATGAAAGACCTACAGCCAACATCATACTCAATGGGCAGAAACTAAAAACATTTCCATTAAGAACAGGAACAAGACAGAGATGTCCACTTTCGCTACTCTTGTTTAACATTGTACTGGAAGTCTTAGCCACAGTAATCAGACATGAAGAAAAAATAAAAGGGATCCAAATTAGAAAGGAGGAAGTGAAACTGTCACACTTTGCAAATGACATGATATTGTACATAGGAAACCCTAAAGACTCCATCAAAAATCTACTAGACTTAATAAATGAATTTAGAAAAGTAGCAGGATACAAAATTAATGTCAAGAAATCGATGGCCACGCCAAAAAAATTAAGATACCTAGGAATAAACTTAACCAAAGAAGTAAAGGACCTATTCGCAGAAAACTACAGGACACTGAAAAAAGAAATAGAGGAAGATATAAAAAAGTGGAAGCACATACCCTGTTCATGGATTGGAAGAATTAACATCTTTAAAATGTCCATACTACCCAAAGCAATCTATAGATTCAATGCAATCCCCATCAAAATACCAACGACATATTTCACAGAACTAGAACAAATACTTCAAAAGTTCATATGGAACCAAAAAAGACCCCGAATAGCCACTGCAATCTTGAAAAAGAAGGACAAAATAGGTGGGATCACAATACCAGATATCAGGTTATACTACAAAGCCACTGTAATCAAAACAGCCTGGTACTGGCACAAGAACAGGCAGATAGACCAGTGGAACGGAACTGAAAACCCAGAAATGGACCCAAGGCAACACGCTCAATTAATATTTGACAAAGGTGGCAAAAGCATACAGTGGAGTAAAGACAGCCTCTTTAATAAATGGTGTTGGGAAAATTGGACAGCTACATGCAAAAAAATGAAACTAGACCATCAACTTACACCATACACAAAAATAAACTCAAAATGGATAAAAGACTTAAACGTGACCCGTGAATCCATAAAAATCCTAAAAGAAAATGTAGGCAACAAAATTTCGGACATCATACAGAGCAGAATTTTCACTGATACGTCACCTAAGGCAACAGAAAGAAAGGAAAAAATGAACACATGGGACTACATCAAACTAAAAAGCTTCTGCACAGCAAAGAAACAATCATCAAAATGGAAAGGCAACCCACTGTATGGAAGAACATCATTGCCAATGATGTATCAGATAAGGGGTTAATTTCCAATACATATAGAGTGCTCATACAACTCAACAAAAGGAAGACAAAGAACTGAATTAAAAAATGGACAGAGGAACTAAATAGACACCTCTCCAAACAGGACATACAAATGGCCAAGAGACATATGAAGAAATGCTCAACATCATTAACCATCAGAGAGATGCAAATTAAAACAACAATGAGGTATCACCTCACACCTGTCAGAATGGCCGCCATCAACAAATCATCAAACAACAAGTGTTGGCGAGGGTGTGGAGAAAAGGGGACTCTAGTACACTGCTGGTGGGAATGCAGACTGGTGCAGCCACTATGGAAAACAATATGGTGTTACCTCCAAAAATTAAAAATTGAACTTCCATTGGACCCAGTGATCCCGCTTCTAGGAATATACCCTAAGAAGCCTGAAACACCAATCAGAAAGAATATATGTATCCCCATGTTCATAGCAGCACTATTTACAATAGCTAAGATCTGGAAACTGCCCAAGTGTCCATCAGTAGATGAATGGATAAAAAAACTGTGGTACATATACACAATGGAGTACGATGCAGCTGTAAGAAAGTAAGATCTCTTATCCTTTGAGGTAGCATGGAGGGACCTGGAAAGTATTATCCTAAGTGAAACAAGCCAAGCAGAGGAAAAACAAGTATCACATGATCTCATTTATTTCTGGAATATACTAAACTAAACAAACTGATGAACAAAATAGACCCAGAGTCATAGAAGTAGGGTACAGACTGACAATCCTCAGAAAGGGGTGCGGCGAGAGAAGGGATATGCATGTATGCATAACTGATGGACATAGACTACAAAGCTGGGGATGGGGTGCGGGGGGATGGGAAGGAGGATGTCAATAGAAGGCAAAAGGAGAAACATCTGTAACAAAAATAAATAAAAATTGTTTTTTAAATATTAAAAATAAATTTAAAATAAGTGCTTTCAACCACTTCTGAGAACATACTTGGTCTATTTCTATAGCATAATTGGGCAATGTTTATCAAGTGCATTTAAAACGCAAAAGCTCTCAACAAAATGGAGATAAGCAATCAATCAGATGCAGAGTTCAAAATACAGGTTATAAGGTTGCTCAAGGAACATGGTGAGACATTCAAGGAACTTAGTGAGACCTTCAAGGAACTTAAGGAGACCTCCAAGGAACTTAGTGAGAACATCAACAACATAAAAAAGGGCCAGTCAGAAATAAAGGGTGTACTAACTGAAATAAAAAATAATTTACACAGATTCAATAGTAGAGTACGTAAATCCAAAAAGCAAACCATCGATTTGGAATATAAGGAAGCAAAAAACACCCAATCAGAACAGCAAAAAGAAAAAAGAATGCAAAACAATGAGGATAGTGAAGGAGCCTCTGGGACAACTTCAAGTGGGCCAACATTCACATCATAGGGGTGCTAGAAGGAGAAGAGAGAACAAAAAATTGAAAACCTATTTGAAACAATAATGACAGAAAACTTCCTTAACTTGGTGAAGGACACAGACATACAAGTCCAGGAAGCACAGAGAGTCCCAAACAAGATGAACCCAAAGAGGTCCACACTCAGACACATCATCATCAAAATCCCAAAGTTTAACATCAAAGAAAAATTCTTAAAAGAAGCAAGAGAAAAGCAGTTTGTAACCTACAAAGGAGCTCCCCTAAGACTGTCAGATGATTTCGCAAAAGAAACTTTGCAAGCCAGAAAGGAGTGACAAGAGATATTCAAGGTGATGAAAAGCAA